CATTGGGTATGATTTTGTTCTGGGTCTTAGACGCCTGATACCTGATCCCATCGACACCTCATGATCACACAGGCTTGTGTGCTTCTTCCATGTGGACTTTGTTCCTTATCAGCTAGATGGCCACTTGTTTATCTTCAAGTTTTTAAGACCCCAGATGCTATAACTTTTGATAGCTGGGCACCATCCGCTTTCTTCACCGCGTTTGCTTATGCACCCATTTTGTCTTCAGCAATCATGTCAGGAAGGTGAATACCACCGAATGTCGGTTGTTAGAACCAAGTGTTCTTTTGTTGAAGGAGTACTTGTGTCAAGGCCCAATGTCCATCTGCCACCTTAATTCTTAACATATAGATATGAGTACATCGTTCTATTCCCTCTCTCATTATATATATATTTACTTATGAACATGCCTGTATTTAGACCTCTGTAAATGTCCTTTGCCTCCTGGTTCTTTCCTCTATTTCATTTTACTTTCCTCTTGTCTCACCATCATGTTCGGCCTTCATTTGGGTTTAGAAATTCCTCGCAGCCACATTGCCCTTGATTAAGCCCCACTAGGCATCCTACACCCTTCTGTCCATTGATATTAGTTTACTTGTTGTTCCCTTGTTCCTGGGTTGGTTACCCCCACCCCTTCCTTTCTCCCACCTCCCCTTCTCCTATATCCCCCTCGAACCATTGGTCCCGTTCTTTTCATATCTGAATTATTTATCCCAACTATCTTATCTAGATAGACATATAAATACATTAATAAGCACAAAAAGCCAAATAAAACAACAAAGGAAGTCAAAACCAACAAAACAATAAAGCAGCAACAACAACAATATGAAAGCCACTCACAAAAATGGAAAAGTCTATAAATAGTTCCAGGTCTCTTTGTTGGCCTTTATGAATATTTTCCAGTCGTGTCTGATGGGATGCCACACTCTGTCTCCAAAGTCTATTTTTGGTATTCCCTGGGGATTTCATCACTTTGCTCCCCTTGCTGCTCTGTTGCATGCCTTTAATGTTTTGCCCCAGCATGATGGGGTCAAATTGTGCACAATTCCTGTACTGTTTCTCCAATGTTGTCCCCCACAGCACTATGGTTTAGTGAGAGACGTCGTGTCTCCTGGTGGGGCTGGCTCTATGGTCCTCTCTGTGCATTGTCTGCTCCAAGCAGTAATATCGTCTTCAGGGCTTGGTAGGCCAGAATGTCCTCCCCTCCCTCTCCATCCTTTTCGCACCTCCCGTGTGCTCTAATCAGATGTGCCCCTTTCCGCAAGCTGTAGCCCAGTGCTGTCCTCTAAAGCACATTCTTCTGAGGAAGGGAGTTGTCCACATAGTTGGGATTGAGGGCCCAAAAGTACGCTTTCTTGCAAGGTGCCTCTGGATAGACTCAAACCTCTCACCTTTCATAATACCTGAGCACATTAACAGTTTGCACCACCCAGGTTCTCCTGAATGTCCTTGGAACACTAATTTGAGATTCCTGTTTCCCCACCAGACCTGGGTACCTGGTTCTCCCTCTGATTTCCTTCAGGATTGAAGTCTGTGCTTGGACTCTAGCATTTCTGCTGAAGCTGTGACCCCCCACATAGTTTGCACACTCCTTTTCTGTAGTATCGCTTACAGTGACTCATACGGCCACCTCTTTCCTAATTGCTGGCCAGCACCCTAAATTCTCTTCTCTTCCCATTTCTCACGGTACTTACCACATTATTTACATAAAGCACCTAAATGCCAAACAGGTAGAAATATATCACAAAAGAGAGGGCTGTGTAAATATTTTTACAATTTCCCTGGGAGAAATAGCCTCATTCTCATCCAAAGTGGACAATTTGGAATGCCCCAAATATATTCTGCTGGCCTGACTCCCACTTTTCAGCTGCACATATTCTGGGGATTGGCCATGGCATTACTGGACAGGATTTTCCGGGAGTGGAGCCACAGTGTTTGTTGTGGCAGGTTTTAAGTTTCTCAGGTGTTTCTAGCAGATAGCTAGGTTTGGGAGTGGGGGTTAGGGGTGAGGACACACAACAAAACACATAAACATTGAATTCTACATAATATCATCTATGCTGAACTTTTTTTCAGTGTTGTTAAATTATTTTTTCAGTTTTATTGACACATAATCCACATCATACAATTCAATAGTTCAATCATGTCAAAAAGAATTGCACGATCATTCCCCACAATGTGTTTCAGAACATGTTTATTTGTTGTTGCTCTGATGTTTTAATTGTCCTTTGAAGAACATTAACAAATAAAATGGCCAGTTGGGTAGGTAAGGAACCCTGGTGGCCCAGTGGCTAAGTGCTGCGAACCGAAAGGTCAGTCGTTAGAATCCAGCTGCTGCTCCTCAAGAGGAAGATGTGCTTCCTTAAAGATGTACAGTCTCAGAAAGATGCTGCTCCTTAAAGATGTACAGTCTCAGAAACCCTTTGGGCCTTTGTACTCTGTCTGATAGGGTTTCTATGAGGCAGACTCCATAGCAGTAGGTTTTCGTTTTGGATAGGTAATGGGAGGGAGGGAGAGAGAGATGGATAAAGGAGCCCTGATTGTGCTGAGTAAGTGTTGAATGCTTAAACGCAAGATCAGAGATTCAAACCTCAAACCCACAAATGCTCCTAGAGAGAAAGATGAGGCTGTCTGTTCCCAGTAGAGTTTTACGACCTCAGGAACCCTATATTTAGGGTCACTATGAGCTGAAATCAACTTGAGGGCTGTGGTTTAATTCTGGCACTGAATCACCTAGTTCAGTGGCTCTCACCTTTTAAGGTACCACCTGGCAAATTTGACTTTAGCTCAGAAACTCTAACTTAGCCTCCTCTCAAGAACCTGCACTTGAAGTCCATGCAAAGTGACTGTGATCCTAGGATGCTGAGACCAAACTTTGAGAAACATGGATTTGAGGAATACCTTTTCACTGGTAGAAATTCTAGCCATTCCCTTCTGGCTGGCATCATCTCGGGTAATGCTTTCCTTGTGTGCCATTTAGTCCATCTGAGAACCTGACCCCTAAATCTGATGTGCCTCCCCTTGCCTTCCCAGTGTAATTGCCTGCCAGATCCACTCTTTGGTACCCAGTAGTATTTTATTCCACACTCCCTAGCGTGCCATCCTGTACTATATACTGATCAGATATTGGTTTATTCTTCAAACATATTGGATATATACCATGGACCAGGTGCTACAACTAAAAGTTGGGCAAGGCCTGGTTCTTCCCTGAAAGAGTACAGTTTGCGAGGAAGATGCATAGAAACAAGTAGTGCATCAACAGGGTGAGTGCAAAAGTAGAACTATGTATAGGTACTAAACAATATGCCTAACAGCCTGGAACAGTCGTCAAGGTTCCTGAAAGGCAGAATTTGAGAGTCCATGTTTAGGAGAGAGTATCCTCTCTCCTCAGAGAAATCACTGAGAAAGCTTGTGAATATACATTACTCTCACTCAAGAAACCAACTCAGTTACTTATCAACCCAGATAAATAAGGCTTACCAGTCTGCAAATTTAGCAAATCAGATTCTGTAGATACACATTATCCTAAATGTCGGAGATAACAACAGCTACAATTCCCAGTCCTGAGAGCCCAGC